ATGTTGAAGTCGCTTCGTCTTGAAAATGCGAGCTGTGGAGTTACGAAGGCTTTTGGGATTTGCGCTGTGCAGTCTAGCAGAAATTGACCGACGTTTCACAGGTGCTTACTGCCTCCATCATCAGGGCTCTGATTGTCGATCGGAGAGATAGAGTACGACTCATGTCACTTACAAGCCTGCACGAATTTTTTAAAATACTGAAGAAAATTGCTTCATTAAACGTATTCGTTCTTGAGAACTAATAGTAGCTTAGCTGGTCAATAAATTCGTCCCAGCAGCCCGCCACTGGACCCTGTCCTGAGCCTGATGAACCCAATCATAACCTAATTTTTTTTAGATCCGACTTAAAGTTATCCTTCTATATGCGCTGTTTAGATTTTTCCACTAAAATTTTGTAAGCATTTCTTGTGTCTCTTTGTGAGCTACATGCCAAATCCGGCTTACCGCTGGGAGAACTAAGCATTGCAGATCTTTACGTTGAAATAAAGATAAAAAATTAAGATTTGTTTGAATGTGGATTTAAGTGTTCTTGCTAGTCTGGGATTTGAGGATCTGGTAAATTTTGTCAGTTGCCCGGGGCACACGTGCGCATCGCAGGGTGTGACCCGTGTTCCGCGTGCCAAGTACCAGTTTCCTCCGTGGCGCTGCCAGACCGAAAAGCGTGCAGCAGCTGTGCGTTGCAGTGCACATCTGCGAGGTGCGTGTTCGTTGTTCCAGAATTAATTAACAATGCGAGCTAAATTAACTGCGCTAAATACTCTCGTGAAGCTATGCATCGCCACTCTTCCATGCCACAGGTAGATCGCATACCGCAGCAGAGACAGCCGTCGATTGTTCGTTCCTAAGTCGCGTAGATCGTGCAATGTGGACGCTGTTCTGCCAAAATTAAACTCTTCATGACCTCAAAATAAAAGCGAATGCTTTTCCTGGCTTGGCACACAAAATTTGACGTATTTTTTGTATCACAGAGTGTTTACACCAAGTCTTCTTTCCTTCTATCTGACCCTTCTGGTCTTTGTTATTAAATTCAGCAATATGGAGGACGCGCGCAAGTCCCGTATCGAACCAACGACAGCCCCCATTTGCCCGCAACCTGCAAATCCCTTCCGTTCGCACAGCGAGCGGTGGAAAACAAAGCGGACCGATGTTTTATTTAATTAACGAAGCAGCCATTTCCCACTATAAGTCGGCTTTATATTTAATTAGTAAACTGTGAATTCTGTCTTATTTCGCCGTTTTATCGTACGAACACAGCAAATACACGCGTCTGTACTTTTGAGTCGACGAGAACAGAATTGTAGTACCACTCACGGCTTTTAGCTAAACCAATTTGTGCAGAGAGAGAGAGACGCTTTGTTCGCTGTCGATAAAACACTTGGCCGCTATGTCCCGAGCTTCGCGTTCTCTCGCTGTGTCCTGCTTTGTACTCCTTCGTCGTGTTTTCGCTTCTCGCTATTCAGGATCACACCAAATGCACAGCCGTTCTGTAGATTCCCAGCGCCACTTGTCTCAGGATGTGGACGCGTCTCGGTTGAGACCCTGGCTCTGTGGACGACGAGACGAGGAATGTCGCCTGGTACCTGCATCGCCATGGAAATTGTATCCGAGCACGTGTAGTGCAGGTTGCCTGCACGATGGGGGCGTTGCACTGAAGTACTTACCGCAAGCTGTTGAAATACAGACTTCGTGAACAGAAATTCAGAATCGTATTGTATGTCGCGAGTCACAGAAATATTCCGCTGTTTTTATAGAATTACGGAAATTATGTGAGTTTGTACGTGTGATGCCTTCTGAAATCTGAGACAAAACTTGTAATTCACGTTCACTCGACGGCCGCCAGCTTGGTCCACCTGCGTCACAGAAGAACAGGCTCACGTATGTTTGTTAGCTTTCCTTCCGTGCTCTATGGGTTCGCTGCCCCCAGTTTATGGAAATCGCCTTCATCTGTGCATAATTCACGTGAAAGGTCCCCTCGAGATTCCATGTCCTTACAGTACCGGATCGCTGCAATGTTGCCAACATTTGGGGTTTCCACCAGAAGCAACACGCGTGTCCTGGGAGGCGTTAAATTGTATTTGTGATGTAATTATTTCAAACAGTTTCCGGCTTGCGTATCCTTACCGATTTAGGAATAATTTAAATTTCCGGGCGGTCTCTCTCCCTTTATGGAACGAACACCCGGTGAATGCGTGGGATCAGCACAAAGGCGTGCATTTCCGGCTGTGATGTGAGTCCAATAAATTGGAGATCAGTGATGCCAACCTGCAGGCAGACATCATACGCCCAGTCCCCGAATCTCCAATAAGTTCCGCTGTACGTATCAATTAGGTCACACGGCAAGTCCTTTCACACTGACCGTGGTACTGAATGTTCGTCGCAAATCGCATGGAGTGGAAGTTTAATCAGGAGTCGTGTTTGTCTGTCTCTTTCATGTCCGAGACTGATCATGTGTCATCTGGTATTTTGAGGGGGTTAGGGCACTCTGACCCTACCGGTTGAACGGCTCGGTCGTCTGTGCGCCTTGTGATTGGCTCTGCATCTATGGGCGTGTGTCTGGCAACAAATTAGCGTGGATCGCAGAGCGACTCTCGGAATTGCACAGTCTGCGGCACGGACCGGAAGGCGAAGATGACGTTTGGGCAGTGGAAGTTTGCATCCGGTGCAGAATCCGTTCGGGAAGTAAGGACGATGCACGACTTACCAAGACACAAGAAGAAAATGTAAATGGGAAGACCAGAGCAAATGTGGACTCGCCGGTTTTGGTTGTCAGAACGAGCCGTGTCCTTCCTTGTCCTTTGCAGGGTGGAGAGAAGAATAATAATGACGATTCGTGAAATGAAAGATCCGTCGTTAAACGCGGTTGGTCCTGCTCGTAGACCGTTCTGGTTTAGAGTTCCAGCTGATTGAGTGGGATTCAGTGTCGGCAACGGGAATCGAAGAGGAGGCTGTTCGTGGTTTCTTCTGACCTGCTCTCTGTGCGTGTTTTTGTGCTGTACGACGTTTGGTTTCGAAATACAGGGCGCCCTATTTGTGGCTGCAGCCTCCGCCTGTCGAAACGCTAACAATGTTTCATCCCCCAAGGAACGGTCGCTTAGTAACAATATCTAAACTCACAGGTGTAGCGTATCGATTTTTGCGGAAGGATACTCGTCAATGGGTGATGTTATTTTCATGAACCCTTCCACATGAATGCGTCTTCTGTTGGTCTTCGGACGAGCACACTGAAAAGACCCACACTTCAACCCGCTGACTGACGGTCGCCATTACGCTGTTTAAAGTCGCAGGCCGCAGTCCTCATTCGCAAGATCGCGGTGGTAAATCCGTGAGACACGCGTGAAACGTCTCTCGCGGCAGAGGAGGACCTGTCGAAGTGTGCCGAGGTACCGTCGGCGTTGAGGCGAATTAGATCTCGCGTGGAAACAGACCTCGTCCTATCACGTCTCATCGAAACGTGTCTGTAGACCCATGACACAGACATGTGCTTTAATATTATCATCAGATTGACCAGGTCAAGGAAGATGAGATGGGAGGGGCACGGGGAGACGAGAAATGCATACAATATTTTGATCCGAACACCTGAAGGGAAAAGATCACTTCGAAATCTAACCGTACGTAAGTGGATAATATTAAAATGGATCTGCAGGAAAGTGTTGTCTGGATTCATCTAACTCAGAATAAGGACCAGGCTCTTGAGATCGCGGTAACGAACATTCTGGTTCCATAAAAGACGTGCACTTTTAGTTTAGTTAGTTAAGTACGTAATTGATCGTGGCGTGACTCATGTCGAGTTTAATTTTCGAGCTCCTAATTATTTAATCTTGCTGCTAACCGCGTGGTTAAATCTTCGTAATGTTCTGTTCTTGTTGGTTTCCTTGCTGTCAGATTCCTAAAACGACATTATCTGTGAGAGGGGGTTTGTGCTCACAGTCTAGGTTCGAATCCCGACTAATATTGCAATGTTTATGTCTGATTTTATGAGCGCCTACAGTCTTGCTTCTACGTGGAGGCTCCCACGTTAAAATATCGAAGTACCAGCGATTCCACTTGGTTTCTCCACGAATAGGCAGATTGTCTTCTGTGTTCGTTAGGTCTGTCGAAAATCCTTCATCAGCTTCTACGTTCTCCCTGAAGACTAAGGCGGTAGGCTACCTCAGCATCATCTTACTAGTACTTAAAATGGCGCTGGTCGCTGCCTCATGACACTAACTGGGTTCGTTGTTGTGAAAATTTAGGTGCAAATGAGTCAGGACTTCGATGAGTAAACTTCACGAGCTTCGCCTTCTGGCTCGATGCGCTTTGCCGCTGTAAAACCTTACACCATCGCACATGACCATTCTTCAGGATACTAGTAGGACCAGCGACTGCGAAGTTAGGATCTTTTCTATCAGCGTTCAGTTCAGTTCTTAAAGTTTTGTTTCGTTTTGCAAATGTAGGTTTAGAGCCAGAAATAACAGGCCTTTTCACAAAGTTTGGCAGAGATGCTCACAGTAACATCAGATAGATGAGAAAGACATAGATTCGATGCTTCGCGTTGGCAGATCTTTTGAGCAGCACCGGTCAGTCGGTGAATCTGTTCCTGAATTGTCTCTGCGTGTTCTGTCTTGGCAGAACGCGTCGCCGAAACGCCTGTTCCATAACTCAGGTGACAAGAGCGTTGTTACTTCGGCACCCGACGGAAGGCGTCGGGTGCCGAAGCGACGCCCCTCGTCCGAGGAAGTCGCGATTGTCCGGGTGCCGAGCCATTAACTGTGCTTGCTCGCCCCGTTCTCTGAGCAGATGCTTTCCTGGGCCCCGTGTGCGACTACGTCATTGCACCCGTGGCCCGGTACGCCGGCGTGTGGGGGATCCCCGTGCTGACGGCCGGGGCGCAGGCCGACGCGTTCCGCCACAAGCCTTTGTCTTACCCGACCCTGACTAGAATGATGGGTTCATACCGGCTGGTGGGCGAGGCGCTACGTCACATCCTGCACGTGTTCGGCTGGCAGGTGGCGGGCATGCTCTACCACAACCACGGGGTCGGGTCACCACGTGGCAATTCCATGTGCCACTTCACCCTGGGAGCAGTGTTCACGGCGCTCAACCAGACGCCGGCACACCGCAGCTTCAATGAGGACACGGCGACGCCCCAGGAGTACCGCGAGCTTCTGCAGTTCGTGTCCAGGAGCGCCCGGAGTAAGTGTTGTCTTCTAGTGGGCCGGGGGGAGAGGTTTCCAGCTTGTGCCTTGAGAACTTTTTCTTTGCATGAAACGCAACTTTTCAGCACGCCCGCCACCTGCTGACACTGGCGTTGATGATATTCTGAAGGTCGACGTTTCGTGAGATGCTGGCTGACGTTTCGGAAGTTCTTCATGCTTCTATCATCAGGACGATGAGCTAGGTCCTCTGAAATGTCGGCCAGTTTCTACCAGACCACATGGTGCAGCTTCTCAGCAGACACTTTCCTCGTAGTCGTTGCCGCGAGGACCTGACAATATTCTGTCACGTGTATTCAGAGGGTTTCGATGATTCAGGCAGTCGTGGGTTCGACTTCGGATAAAGAAAGACCAACATTTATGAAAATACCATCACTCAATAAAATTTTCTCGGGTGATCAGCCGCGTCAGATGGTTAAACAATAAAACCGACGTTTCAGGGACGACGTCACATTATTTTACTCAAGGCACTATAAGGACTTGTACCACTCTAGCTTTGCACCAGGGAATTTTACCTGCAGACCACAATAACGTGTTTAATGATGGACGAAAAGTGTTACTAAGTACGCATTTCGACATTGTTTGCAGCGAATGTCACGGCGAAATGCATTTAGGTGTTTAATGGAATGGAACAAACTGAAATTGTCGTTCACTTAATTTCATCACCTCGTGGTTGTGTATTCAAACAGTCGCCATTTTGCATTTTGGCAAATTGAAGTCGGGCTGGTGATGTGTGCTATCATCACCTCTGCTACATCCGGTCTGTGAGACCGCCGACCACGTTTCGTGCGACAGATAATAATGACTGCGAAGTGTTTAACATGTCACTCGTGCAGCAATTCAGAATCCATTTCGAGTGTCTGGTTATTCAGATTCCTCATCCTTGCTTGGTCTTTACGTGTTGATTAAGAAATATAATTTCTTCGAGGAGTTTATAAATTTGTCTCTGTATCCCTTTGAAGCCAAAGTTCGTCTAAATGTTATTTAAGAATTCAGTCCGTACCGCGAAGAAAACACCGCAATTCACCATTACAAAGATCAACGCTGTTTACAGCGAGAATCATACAAAACCCATAAATGGGAAATATAAAATTGTTGAAGCAGGTGGTACATATAGTTACCATTGGGCTTTAAAGTGTTTAGGTGGGTTTTTTTCTTCTAATTCGATTATATTTGTGTCTAAAACGACAGAGTACTTTTCAAACCGGATTGTTTCTGTATCAGCTACCTTCGTCATTGCCCCATAAACAGATATTTTTAATATTTCTTTGTACGTGCGATTGAAATTTGGTTTCACCTACATTTTAAGGCTATGAACCCAAAAAAGAGTGCGACTGAATTTCACACGGTGGGACGAATTTTTGAACAGTTTGGACGAACCTTGTACCGATGCTTCGCCACAAAAATACGTAGTTTCCTGCTTTGAATGGGAGTGCATGAATATGAATTTTGTTGTTGTTGTGGTGTCCTGAGCCTGAGCTGCGCCCTGCTTCTTGCTTCTCTCCCCAGGTCGTGCTACAGTCGCCCCTAATATCCCGTGCGGTAAGTGTGGATTCACAGATTTGAGTTGCACCGTTACAGACACGGGCATGTGTGGAAAGCGTCCAGACACGTATCTTGACGACAGGAACTTGGTTCGTTTTATAAAATATCAATAGAAATGTTTAAAAATTAACACTTTGAAATTTTTATGGCGTTTCTTTTCTGAAAATTTTCTGCCTTAAATAACATCGCCATGGGAGTTTAATTCTGATGACTGTTCTGTAATAATAATAGTAATAATAATCGCGCTTATTTAAGGCTGTGTAGTTGTTATTGTCTTGCAGTTTTTAACGGTAGAATGTCTGTGGATCTTTAATCACGTTGTCTGGGCCCGAATTATGCACACAAAATAACTGAATTTCGTTCAGATGTGCTGTCGGCCGCTTCTCATCTCCCGTTGTGTCCTTTAGTTCATTATTGCATGTTTAATGTTAAGTGTCGTCGTATTTGTGTTGGCACAGGACAGAGCTGCAGTTACGACATTTATTTAAACGTCAACATCTGTTCCGTTACGTCTGATTTACTGGTCTTGAAGGGTTAACATGGTTCAGAACGCGAAACTGCATTAAAGCAGGTGTTCGTAAGAGACTTGGCTTTTTCCTTTTCGTGAGAGTGACACAGTACAGCCTCTCGTGGAAGAATTGCCAAATTCTTCCTCTCTTAAAAAAGTTCCCTGTTGTCATTCAGCTACTTAAATTCAGCGCAGTACCAACATTAGAAGCCGAATTTCCCACGAGCTGCCTGGAGCAGCCACTCATAATCGCTGTTTCTTGTGAACGGTCGCGTCTTACGCCCGGAGTTTAGGAGGATTACGTTCTTCCGTGACGGGGCGTCATCCCTAGCGAGTTTCTGAAATCGGTTTAAACCCGTCTTACTAAATGCTTAGGTAATCATTAACACAATACCAGGTGTTTAACGTTCAGGAACTGAGCCTGCCATCAGATTAAGTCTCCCTGAGCTGTTGTATTGTGTTGGTATAATTACGTATATGTCACATTAGCAACTCGCGTTTACTAAAGGTTCAGTTGAAAGTTAGTAGCGAATTTGAAAGGATACGGGAGGAAGTGGTCTTGGCTTGGTTTTAGGCAGTATCCCGGAATTTATCTGGAGGTACTGTGTAAAACCACGAAAGGTTCGCCCCGTCGCTGTCACGCCGGCCTGCGTTCCTTCCGTCAGTCGCGTCCGGACATTTTTGCCAGGAACTTGGCAAGCTAATCTGCAGCTTGAGTAACCTTCGTGTTATGACGTCAGCCACCTCAACTTCTTTTAATATATTTTTCCTGGATTTATGTTCGTGAATTATTTACGGCGTCTCACTGTGAAAGCCGTTGGTTCTACACACGAGGATTTCTCCCCGCCTGCCTCTGCGGCTGTTGACGAAAGAGATTTAAGAAAGGCAGAGTGAAGTCTGTCCTCAGTGACGTGACCTTCATACCGATGTTTAATGACGACGATCTGTTTGTTACACGCAGTTAGGCATTTTGCTTTGCGACTGAATAGCGGAGCACGCCGTTAAACGCTGCCTCGTTCAGCTGCAGTTTCCTGCCTGCGTCTCTCTTATTTTAAACCGGTTAAATTTTCTCGGTCCACTTACTTAGGAAAGTTTCTTAAAAAGAGAATGTTAATCAAAGGCTAATCAAGTCTGGCGTGGGATCGCAAATTTTTCATTACGTGTCTGATCGTCATTTCAGGAAAGCTAATCTTGTAGGAGGTCATCAACGTTTCGGAGAATTATATCACCTCCGTCTTCAGGGTAGAAGTCAGTTCAACACTTATTTCATCCGTTCCTAGTCAGAATGTGATCACGAGCATTTTGAATAATTTGCATTGCAATGCCGCATAGAATTTTATAACAGAAGAGACAAATGTGTGTTACGTCGACGCGTCTGAGATTAATGACGCCGTCCTCAGTGCGTAGGACAGTTTTTTAACTGCGACTTCCCGCGAAGAACCACGAATATTTTTTTGACAATTTAAGTGCCCGGCATTTCGTGCTAAAATGAGCCGTCGAGTTGAATGCGTTCGCACCGACTGGCGTTGCAATCTCACTCCAGAGGGCTCTGAAATTCCGACCGAGTGCTTTGTTAACTAAATGTTTTTGCATTTTTAAATTATGACCGTTGTATTCTTTATGTTGCGTTATATAAATGTGTGCAGTGAAATGTCGCAATGCTTTTGTTTGATATTATATATTGTAGTATATAGTGAAGTTGCCATGGCAACGAATCGATGTGGTTTTGTTTGTTACAAATAACGTGGAAAAGGATCAGTGCTGTTCGATGAAATGGAAGACGAGGAAAATTATTATGAAATAATCCTAATTATTTATTTCTTAATAGCGTATAGGCCTGCAAATATTGTTATAATATTATTATTATAAGGAAAGATGTATCTTTCACAAGCTCCGGCTAATGAACGCGGGCTGTTAACATTTTAAACTGATTTGTGAGACGTATTTTGAACGTTTTCTGCTCTTTTTTTTGTAAGAATATAGTGTTTCGGAGGTCGAATTTGCTTCTGTCATCAGGTGAAACCTGCTGTTGGAAAAATTATTTTCGAATTAATATAGCACAGCCACGCTTCCGAAACGTCGTGTGTTTTATCCAGAAGACGAGAGGATGTAGCAAGTGCAGTGCATGTCAACAATTGTGTTCTGAGTTTCTTGTGTGACACTGAACCAGGAACCTCGCGTTTACGTGCGTTCCGATGCACGCCGTCGTGGCGCCTTATTCGTTCAGGTAACAGCGGGCCACAGCCGAGAGGCTCGGGTCTCATATTTCAAGTGCACGCCAGATAAGAAGGTTCTTAAAAATTCAAAAAGTCTGAAGTATGATCATCACATGATAAATTCTGTTTTATTTTTCTATTCTTGTGATCTTCTCTTTACGAAACCTCTACCTAACGAACCACCTCCGGAGAAGCTTATAGTCGCTCATTTAGCCAAGCGATTTCCCGCCGTTTATGGAAACCGGAAGTTCATTGGAAAGAGCCCGCCAATGGTCCCTGTTTTGAGTCAGTTGAATCCAATCTACCCTCTCGTATCCTGTCAGTTTAATATTGGTATGTCGTCTACGTCTCGGTCTTCC